AAAAAAAAAAAAATGGGAGGGGCTAAGACGACCCGGCACAATTTTCAAGAAAACAAGAAATGCTGTTTACATTACAGTTAAAACGATGCAAATAGACACCAAGATTGGTAAAGATCACTGTGACACGCAAACGTACAGGCATAAAGCCAAGCAACTGACAAAGGAAAAATTCGAAGTTGATATGTTAGAGTTTGTTGATACCTGCAAAAAATTCTGGATTTTGAACGATAAACCACGAGTAAGAGGGTTTGCCTGTGGCTGTGGGTGTGTGTTTGAGTGTTTCTGTTTGTGTGTGTGTGTGTGTGTGTGTGTGTGTGTGTGTGAGAGAGAGAGAGAGAGAGAGAGAGAGAGAGAGAGAGAGAGGGCAGATGAAGAGGCGGGCTCGTCGCCCTGCTGCGGTTCGACTGACTACAGTTGCAGAAGTTTAGCCTATCAATGGCCGATGGCCAATATATAAGACGAAATTGCCCCTGTACTCATATCAATTTACAGTAGTATTCGGTTACCGACTTGGTTAAATTATTATGCTACTATTATTATTTTAATTTTAATTTGCCGTGTTTGAAAAGAAAATAAAAATCTATTGAAAAAACGAATTAGATAAAAAAAAAAATTGTATAACTTTGGACATATTAAAATATAATTTAAGATATGTTTTGTTGTCAACCTATGAATAATTGCAGGAGATAATAGTTAACTACTTGTTTATTGTATTTTATTCATTTTTTATTATATACTAAATTAATTTATGAGTTAAAATCAAATTTACATTAAATTTATTATTACTTTTGACTGTATATAGAGTATAGAGCAATTCAATTTAGAATTATAAGAAAAAGATATCCATCATGAACAACAATATAACCAACTATATGTTATAACCTTTGGAGATTATAATCTATCTATTAATATAGAGGGGATGATATTTACTGGAAATAGTATGATCCCTTATGTCGATTTTTTGTCTAAGATCAAAGTCGAGAAAAAAATCAATAAAAAAATATTTCAATTCCCGCCTATGATTTTAAATTACTCATTATAGTAATTTTCTTTTAAAATTCGAAATATCCTACCTTTTTCAAAATCCATTTGAATTTTTCGAAACTTTAAAAATAAAACCATCCTAAAAATTGGGAAATATCTGATGCTATCATTTTGACCATATTTTTCTAACTAACTAATAATCTTAAAATTTTGGAAAGAATATCAAATATACATGAACTCTTTGTTTATGTTTTTTTTTTAAAAAAATTTGGAAATAAAATAGTGCATCAAATGGAGACTTACCATATGTCATTTGTAATCAATTTCACCATAATTTTCTAAGGAGATATCTATTGTAAAATTGGAATGAATATCAAATATTTATGGACTAATTCCGATTGTCTTCCATTTTTCACATGAATTCGCTCATTTATTTTTTTATTTTAATAAAGTAATATTCAATTATAAATCATATTTGGATTGTTCTCAACAAATATATGTTTGTGACTCATGAAAATCCGTACAATATTCAAAATCTATCTTTTAATATATAAAGATGCAATTATTTACTTTAAATAGCTACTAAAAAAAAAATGATTTCTCGCCTAAAGTATTTACTATATTGAGTAATGTTTTTTGCTAAAATTTGAAAAATCTCGCCTAAATTAATGTAATTATTGTTCAGAATCATTTTGGTTAGATATTGCAGCTATTACCTTTATTAGTTGAATGATTTAAATTTGGAATATAATATATTAACAAAACTTAAAGTTGTTACCTTTATTCATTGCATGACTTAAATTTGGTATCTAACGTATTGAAAAAAGGAGAAAGAATTTTATTTACAATTAAAAAAAAAAAATTTATAACTTACGGGTCAATATTAATTTCGACGTAAACGAAATAGTCAATTATTTATACTAGTGCATACCCCGTGCGATGCACGTGATACATATAAGAAATCAATTATTTCTATAGGACTTGTAAATCTAGACAAAAAAATAATAGGCTTGGATAATCCATATTTCACATCTTTTAATAAGTGATGTTTATTTAAGCCAAAAAATTAACATGTTAATTAATATATAATTTCACTAACACGTCATACTAATATTTATTTGATTTTAAAATACATATTTATTCATTGATATAAGAAAAAAAAAAATTTATTAATTATTGTTCACCATATAATACTCAATTATTATTTTATTATAAAATTTACAGTCATATAATGTAATTATTATTATTTATAAAAGTTATAGAAGTAGTCTTCTTTATGTAATGAAATTCAAAATAAAATTTTGAGTATAAATGTTTACAAAATACACACACATGTTTTTTAGAATTCAATTTTCTCATAATAATTCTTTTTTTTTAAAAAAAAAAAGATTTAGTAATTGCCAAAAAATAAATTCCTTACATAATCAAGAGATTTTTTCTAATTTTCACACTAAAGCTTTAGAGTTTATTTAACATACTATGCAATAGAAAAATATTTTAAAATAAGTTCATTTTTGAAACATAACAAAAAAAAAAAAAAAAAAAAAGTGATAAAAGCACTATCATAGTTGACAATAATATACAAATAAATAACATGTCGAAATTTTAAAGAATAACTAATATAATTTTATTATCTAACCATCAATAAAATTATTTAAGGATGTGATCATTATCTTTTATATAATAAATAATATTAATTTTTTTTAAAAAATATTAGTCTTATATTATTATATAAAGGTTCAAAAATATTACTCGACAAATATTAATAATAATTGATATCAGTAAAAACATTGCATAAATTATTTAAGGAAAAAAATCTCTAAGATCATATTTTGATAGTAAATGTAAATATGGAAGCATTTAATGCATATAGTAAAAAATTTCTAAATAAAGTATGCATTAAAGGTGTATTGACTTTTCTTGCTACTGCTTTGTGTAAATAGGTTGGCTTTTAATATATATATAGATAGTTTAATAAATTACTCAATTACTTACGGGTCAATATTAACTTGGACGTAAACGAAATAGTCAATTATTTAAACTTTAATAAATTACTCAACTACTTAATTATTTTTATTTAAATGGTTTACACAAAAATAAATTATTTTAAGTAATGAAACAATATAAATTTTATATTTATACATTTTATTCACATATGATGTTAAATTTATGATATTATTTTACCCAAATAACTATTTTATGGAATAGCATTATCTTCAAATCAAATTTCTGAATAAAAATTTTGAAATGGTACTTATTATGAAACGAATATAATGTAATTTATTATCAGTTTGCACCACAGGGGTTGTGTATTAATTTTAAATAGATATTTTTATGAAATTTTGTACAATTTAAACATTATATAACATTTTCAATAAATTAGTATAGCTAATTGTAATACATATAGATTCCGTA